GCTCCATGGAGGGACCAGCTTTCTATGGCAAGCCAAGAAGGTCATATTTAGCATTGAATTGTCGCGTTAAGATTGAAGTTAACCCGCAAAAAACGCGCGTTCTCCCGAGATTACGCCGCTTTTTACGCCGTCTTTTACCAACAAGCGCCGCCTTTTACGCGCGTCATGATAGTACCACAAGACGCGCGTTAAATACGCGCGTTGTGTCGGTCAGAACGCGCGTATTTAACGCGCGTTTTCCTAATATGATAATGATGTCCTTCCTTCTTTTCCCACAGCCAATGCATTTGAACTGGTTGCATCCAATATCTGATCAAGGCAGCCAGACCAAGAAAGTTCAGCACAGATCTGCTTTGTGGAAAACTGCACAGAGCTCAATGTTGCAGCATTGTCAAAATTCACTGCATTGCCGTTTCACAAAGCCTTAATGTTAGGAATATATCCACTACTTACACTTTGCTGTTATTTTGAATCCATTCCATGCCTATTTTCACGTAAAAACGTTTTAATATTACCGAGAGGTGGCGTAGTGGGTTAAGTCACCGCCTTCAATGCGATCCTTTTGCTTCGTGGCAGGTTCGAATCCGGCAGAGGCCGTCCGACTTTTCCCTTTATGTTCTGTCTTGTCTCCAACCAAGCCCATTTATTTATTTATTTATTTTCTGAGAATATAATCATAAATGTAGCCTACTTCACTGTTTTTGATCCATCGCCATGCATTCTGTCATGTAATAACATTTTATATTGTACTAATAAAATGACAATAAAGGGGACACTTGTCTTCCAGAAAATTTGTCGGTCTGACTTGTTTTCTGTATATTTTCCTGCAGATCACCAACCTTTTTCCATAATACTTTATACAGCCATGGAGCAACTGCTGTTAAAATTAAATTAACAGGAACATTTCTTATTAAAAGTGTTATTAGTGCAATGAGAAAAAACTTGCTTAGTTGAGCCAGTGGAGGTTTGATGATCCCCATAGCTCATGTTCTCTGTCTCCTACACATATATATATATATATATATATATATTAACCACGTCACATAAATGTTCTTTCAGTCTGCAGATGGCGCCATATAACGAGTAGGCTACTGGCAGAGCAGCAAACAGGTGTTTGCACCAAAGCTGGGGAACAATATAGGCAAGGTGTGTCTCTTTTTCAAGAGAGAACTGGATACTGGATTCTTTCATCTTTTTTATTTATTATGAACTATTATCTATTTCCCACTACCTTTGACCACTAGTCAGTACCTTTACTTATGTGTACTAGAACAAGATCCAAATGTGCAAGAGTCTAATTACATTTTCATTGTGGAGTAGGAGACAAGGTATGGGTGCAGCACCTTCCATTGGGGGTGTATCCAGAAAACAGGTACTACGTTATTTAGATGTTACATTTAATTTTAACAGCAGTTGTTCCGTGGCTGCAGAAAGCATTATGAGCTTGGGAAAAGGTTAGTGATATGCAGGAAACATACAGAAAACAAGTCAGACAGACACATTTTCTGGAGGATAAGTGGCCCCTTTAATGTCATTTTATTAGCACAATGTAAAAAGTTGTTACATGACAGAATGCATGGCGATGGATCAAAAACAACAGAGAAGTGGGCTACATATATGGATTATATTCTTGGTTAAAGGCAAGAGAGAATATCAAAGGCATAGGTTTGATTTCAGCTTTGGTAGGGACACTATTGGTCTTCAGTTTCATCGTTCTAATGTCATTGGTCCTTTGCAAAAAGATGCATACTCTTTTTTTTAATGCTTAATGTGAGCATCAGGCTTTGATGTGTTTAAAGAGAACAGCATAATTTCTTCCTAGATTAATACAAATCTTATAAGCACTACACTCACTAGATGCTGTTTAGCAATGTTTGAAGCATCACTGGCTCTGATCAATGTGCAATTAGGACTTTTTTCACTTTGAAAATGTTTGCATTTAAACTTACCACTAAGACAGAAGGTAAATACATTCCTATTTAACCAAATATAGTCTAAATATGCCTGTTATATGTTGACGTATCATGGGTTTTCTTTTGAAGATGTATAATTGTGCAGAGGTAAACAGGTGAAACCCACTCCAGTATCCAGTATCCAGTTCTCTCTTGAAAAAGAGACACACCTTGCCTATATTGTTCCCCAGCTTTGGTGCAAACACCTGTTTGCTGCTCTGCCAGTAGCCTACTCGTTATATGGCGCCATCTGCAGACTGAAAGAACATTTATGTGACGTGGTTAATATATATATATATATATATATATATATATATATATATATATATATATATATATATATATATATGTAGGAGACAGAGAACATGAGCTATGGGGATCATCAAACCTCCACTGGCTCAACTAAGCAAGTTTTTTCTCATTGCACTAATAACACTTTTAATAAGAAATGTTCCTGTTAATTTAATTTTAACAGCAGTTGCTCCATGGCTGTATAAAGTATTATGGAAAAAGGTTGGTGATCTGCAGGAAAATATACAGAAAACAAGTCAGACCGACAAATTTTCTGGAAGACAAGTGTCCCCTTTATTGTCATTTTATTAGTACAATATAAAATGTTATTACATGACAGAATGCATGGCGATGGATCAAAAACAGTGAAGTAGGCTACATTTATGATTATATTCTCAGAAAATAAATAAATAAATAAATGGGCTTGGTTGGAGACAAGACAGAACATAAAGGGAAAAGTCGGACGGCCTCTGCCGGATTCGAACCTGCCACGAAGCAAAAGGATCGCTTTGAAGGCGGTCACTTAACCCACTACGCCACCTCTCGGTAATATTAAGTGGTGAAACATTCCTATTAATAGCTGTGAATACAAAACATTAGTTGACGATGCATGTTGATCCAAAACGTTTTTACGTGAAAATAGGCATGGAATGGATTCAAAATAACAGCAAAGTGTAAGTAGTGGATATATTCCTAACATTAAGGCTTTGTGAAACGGCAATGCAGTGAATTTTGACAATGCTGCAACATTGAGCTCTGTGCAGTTTTCCACAAAGCAGATCTGTGCTGAACTTTCTTGGTCTGGCTGCCTTGATCAGAGATTGGATGCAACCAGTTCAAATGCATTGGCTGTGGGAAAAGAAGGAAGGACATCATTATCATATTAGGAAAACGCGCGTTAAATACGCGCGTTCTGACCGACACAACGCGCGTATTTAACGCGCGTTCTGACCGACACAACGCGCGTTAAATACGCGCGTTCTGACCGACACAACGCGCGTATTTAACGCGCGTTCTGACCGACACAACGCGCGTATTTAACGCGCGTCTTGTGGTACTATCATGACGCGCGTAAAAGGCGGCGCTTGTTGGTAAAAGACGGCGTAAAAAGCGGCGTAATCTCGGGAGAACGCGCGTTTTTTGCGGGTTAACTTCAATCTTAACGCGAGAATTCAATGCGAAATGTGACCTACTTGGCTTGCCATAGCTTTCTGCCAAGGTGTCTGCCCCTGGAGGAGGGTCTACCCGACCACCATTACATTTAGATTGTCACATTTTAGCACATTTTAATCACATTTTAGCTGTTATTTCAGGGTAATGAAAACATTTTTAGTAAAGTCATTATTTTCTTCGTCATTTTAAACTTTTTTAGTAACATGGCAGCCGTCAATTGGGGCAGCTGTCGATTGGGTCAGCCCTGCAAACCCTGATGGATGATGTGGTGAACAGTGGAGAGAGGCACCCCCACCCCCCAGATGATGTCCCACTCACAGTCAGAAGACTCCAAGGTCATCTGTGTGGCATCGCATCCAGTCCAGCAGCACCACCAGGGACTCCTGCTCAGTCACAATTGTATATATATATATATATGTTCTCTAGTAATATTTACTGTATATCTTCTGTAAATAGTTGTAGTAGTTAATTTTAAAATCTAATGTCAATACTTAAAAATGTTTTTAATAGTTTATTGTAAATACTTGCTTCTCTAAAAATAAACTGATGTCACTGAGAAGTTGTTCTAAGTTTACTTAAATTATAAAGAAGTGATGAAACAGATAAAAGACTTTAAGAACACACCGACAACAATAACTTTTATAAACAATTTAATAATTTAATTTAATAACAGCAACACATAACCTGAACTTGTTAAAAAAAAAACACCAAAAATAATAATGTCTGTCCACCATCCTCTCCAATAAATGAAATAATCTGTCCATCCTTTCCCGCTTCCCTCTGCCATCTGATATCCTCCCTGATTAAATCCACCAACTCGTCTCTCCTTCTTCTCTTGCTCCTTTCCCTCCTCTCTCCTGGCCTCTCATCCTCATTCTCTTCCTCATCGTCAACCTGGTGCTGCTCAGCCTCTGCAGCACCTGGCCCTGCTGTGTCCTCAGGGATGGAGGCAATTAGGACAGGTGGGGCATTAGGGGGCCTCTGTCCTAATACCTCATCTATGAGGACAAACCAGGGCCACGTGGCAGCAGTAGGCTTCCCACTGACCCCCTGTTTTCTGTAGTGTTTCTTTAAAGCTAGAAAAAAGGAAGGTTTCATGATTTGGATGGATTAATGAAATTCTACAGAAAAAGACTTTGGAATGGTAACCTGGAGATTACTTTTTTAAGCTTACTCAAAATTAACATGAATATAATAAATGTAAGATGTAATTTCCCTACACACACACACACACACACACACACACACACACACACACACACACACATATATATATATATATATATATATATATATATATATATATATTGTGTGAGTGTGTGTCCCATTACATTATCCAAACCTGAACATACTTTGTTTTGTTTTTTTTGAAGTTGTCCCACACAAGGATCACTTCTATCACAAATATGAGATTTACAAAAAGTGGCATCTGGGCATCATTTGATGCGATCAAATTATTATATATTTGTACGTTGGTGTTTGAACAGGACTTCTTTTAACTTGTGTGACTTTTACATAGAAATGCAACATGTAGATGGAATTCTGCCTCAACTTTTCGCTCCATCCGCCTGCAGCAGTATTTTAGGCCCCGATGATGAAGTGGTCATTTTATCCACTCCTCTGTCTGCTCCCTGGAACAAAATGACATGTAAAGCATATTTCTGTTATGTCAACAGGCAAAATGACTGTTCTGTATAATTACACTGGTATTGTTCTTCAAGTGAATTATACTTTAAACTTTATTATACTGTACTGTAAATTAACTATACATTATTCAGTATTAAAACAAAACGTTTACAGTATTAACAGCCCAGTACAGCTGGACTAAAGTTATTTCTTCAGCTGCATTAAGCTTTAAAAGTTCTAATACTTTGTAATAAACTGTTTGAGAATAAACAGATCTGATTAGAGAGGGATACGGCTATCAGTACAGTAAGATGTAGGTTAAAATAAAAAATAGTGACATTTGTATGAAGGCTTTCAATTGTTGATGAACATCACGTATCAACAAGTTAGCTTTAAGCTTTAGCTTTAGCTGGTCCTACACATCCCGGTGGCACTGTTACCATCATGTATTTTAATAGATGTTCATTTAAAAAAAGCAAAAACAAACTACTTACATTTAAAGGTGTTCTCCGCTCTACTGCCGGCGCTGCTGCTGCTTTCGGTTGTCCGTAACTTCAAGAAAATCCGACTTTCTTCTTCTTTTTCTTCAACTACTAAAAAAAAAAAAAAAAAAAAAAAAAACAAAGCCAGGAAGTGCTCCAAAGGCGTCCTCCCAAGTACGCAGCCTGCGAATTGAGACGCAGCCTGTGATTGGTTGGCCTATAGAGCCCCACCCCCCACATTTCCTCTCACATCTTCAAACACAAGTTCGTTTTGGCACAAATATCTCGCAAGGAATGTGACAAAAGTCAAAGCGCGGTGTCAACGTGCTGTGTCTCGCGAGAGCGCGTTTGTGTTCTTGAAGCAGCAGATTCAAGAAGCTGTAATGGCTAAATTGAGGTTGTAATGCTAGATTAACATATGCAAAAAAATAATAATTACAAATAAACTATCAATAATCATTTGTCAGCTGTAATTTTATTTGTGTAAAACTATATGAACACACCAGTAAATAGTTTTTTTGTGCATTCACATTTAAATCAGATTTGAGTGAAAATCCTCTTCAGGTGAAGATTGGACTGACAAGTGTAATTTTTTTTTACATGTTCTTGCCTGATATGTCTTTTAGTGCAACTTCAAATTCAGTTTGTGTGTGTGCGGTTTTTCTTTACAGCAGAACATTTTGGCATACAAGTTCATATTTTTGTGGTACAAATTCTCACATTGCATTCTCAAGTTTTCACATTAAATTCACAAGTTCGTTCATTTTGGCACATATTTACCTTCATAATTACTCTACATTCAATCAGAAGATCTTTGTAGTTGTGCCATAAGAAAATACGAGAATTCAAATCTGATGTTTTTTAGGTGATCAACATATTTCATAACTTATCCAAAATATCATTGATTAAATTACTAACCCATTTAGTGAAAGTATTTCTCTGCTAAGAAACCTGTGGCTGTGTACTTTGCAGCATCGGGTGTGAATTTCCGTTTGTTTTAAGGTTAATTGGCCATTTCTATATTTCCACTGACCTCATTTGAAACACGTTGCTAATTCTTAAAATGGTGAATTTTAAATTTTTGTCTCTCAGTAAAAGCTTTCATTTCAGAGAGATGTTTTTCCCTCCTACTGTTAGAGCTGAGGTAGGGTGATCTCAGGACAATCGAGCGAATCCCCACACCCTATTTTTATGATATGATTTTCACTTCTTGGTGTTTGAAAGCACTACAACAAGGTCTGTTAAATTTTTAAGAATAATAATTTTTTTTTCCCTTTAAGGCTAATTAAGGAAGGTTGCCTGTGTGTGTGTCGCAGTTAATGCAGATAATAGCAGACACTCTGGTGCACCTCTCCAAAATTGTAGGGGACCGCAGACAGGAGGCCTCTGATTGGTCAAATCTACATCCGCTCTACACTATGCGTATTTCCTGTTTGGTACCTTACCGGTTTGTTTTGTTTGTATGACCGTAGGGCTGGGCAAAAAATCGATTTAATCGATTTATCGATTTTGTAGTTTAAAAAGATTTTTATTTTGCAAACTCGAGTTTTTTGTCAAAATAGTTTTTTCGGACTTTTCCGCGTTTCTTCCTTGTGGGTTACCGTAGCGCGATATTATGAGCCAGTCCCCGCCCTGCGTAAACACAGTCAAAACAACATGGCAGCGTGTAGCAGAGAACTAACGTCAAAGAAAGGCACAGGTAATTCCGTAATTTGGAACTGGTTTGGTTTTGATGCAGCAGACCAAACACAGACGAAGCCTTGCTGCAAAATTTGTTTCAAGGCTGTTGCTACTGGAAGCAGCAGTACAACAAATCTTTTCCAGCACCTGAGGAATAAACATCGCGAAGAATGGGAGAAGTGCAGCCGGCTCCGTAGCGAAAATGCCTCCTCTAGCACACCTGCTAAAAAGCAAACTACACTTCCTGAGAGCTTTACAAACTGTGTGCCTTATGATAAGAAGGGAGCGCGATGGAAGGCGATTACAGAGGCGATCACGTTTTATATTGCCACAGACATGCTGCCAATTTATTCTGTCGAAAAGCGAGGCTTTAAACACATGTTGAAAGTATTAGATGCGAGGTACGATGTCCCCAGTCGCAAGTATTTCGCCGATGTAGCGCTGCCTCACCTGTACAATACAACTCGGGAAAAGATCCGCAGTGAGCTGGAGGAGATGCAGTTTTACTCAGCCACAACGGACCTGTGGTCCAGCCGGACAATGGAGCCATATCTGAGTCTGACGGTTCACTACATCAACAATAGTTGGACTCTGCGCAGCATCTGCCTTCAGACAGCGTATTTCCCTGACAACCACACTGGTGAGATAATTGCCCATGGCTTAAAAGACGCTCTCAGCTCCTGGGGACTTTTGGAGGAACGACTCGTCTGCATGACAACTGATAGTGGCACCAATATCATAAAAGCCCTTAAGGACAACAACTGGCCCAGCTTGCAGTGTTTTGGCCACAGACTCCACAATGCTATAGGTAAGAGTTGGTGTAAGAATAAATAGGTGCACATACTTGCACATTGTAAAGTATATTTCAATAATATATATATTTATATAATATATAATATAATATATTTCATAATTTAATAGCCAGAATATGTTATATATTTCAACAGGTTTACACACAGACATAAATTCATATTTACAGTTTATCTTAGTTTATTTACATAAATAAACCTGACTTTTCCATAATCTTCAATGCATTCATTATACATTATGTATTAAACTGTGTTATAGCTATTAAAATTGTGATAAAAGTACAAAACAATTTTGAAAACTCACGTAATCAAATATATAGTTTGGAGTGACAAAGTATTCTAAATATCTTTTCACATTTATTACAGAGAATGGTGTGAAGGATCCAAGGATCGATCGGGTATCAGCCTTCTCCTACAGCTGGAAAAAAAGGCGAGACATGACAGAGGTGCAGGCTGAGCTTGGACTTCCCCAGCATCTTTTGATCTCAGAATCCCCAACACGTTGGGGGTCTCGTCAAAAGATGATTGAGCGCTTTCTTGAGCAAGAGAAGGCAATAACTCGTGTCCTGGGTGCAGACAAGAAAACGCGTCATCTTGTTCCCACGTGGCAAGATTTGGAAGTATTAGAAGCCACCAACAAAGCAGTGAAACCTCTCCAGGACTTCACTGATGCACTGTCAGGGGAATCATATGTCAGTGTGTCATGCATCAAACCAGTGCTGCATTTGTTTAAAACAAGTCTCCTCCTGCCAGAGGAGGAAGATTTGGAGCTAACAAAAACAATCAAAGCTAACATCATGCGTTACCTCGAAAGTAAATACTGTGATTTGGAGAAAGAGGAACTTTTGGACATGGCCACACTTTTAGACCCGAGGTTCCGTACAAAATACATTGATGCTAGCAAACTGGAAGTTGTCAAAAAAAGAGCAGTGTCTGAGATCGCTGCTCTCTGCAACTCTACCACAGAGGAAGCTGGTCCCTCAACTGTTCAAGAGAACACCCCGGCAAAAAAGAAAATGACTCTGGGTGCCTTCTTTAAAAACAGTGCACCATCCACCACGCCACACCCATAATCTGAGAAAACAAAAATTGAGACTGAGCTTGCAACATATTTCCTTATTCCAGACATAGAGCCAGACACAGATCCTCTTGAATGGTGGAAGCTGCATCAGCCAAACTTTCCAAGGCTAAGCTTATTGGCTAAAAAATATCTTTCTATTCCAGCCACTAGTGCCCCCTCAGAGAGGCTATTTAGTGTGGGTGGGGGAATAGTTACCTGCAACCGGGCCTGCCTTAAGCCAGAGGTTGTGGACAGGCTCATCTTTCTTGCAAAAAATGTTTAGAATGAGCATGCACAATGTTTCAGAGATCTAACAAGCATGTGTTTTGTTGTTATAGATAAAAGTTTACATTTGTTCACTCTTTGAGCAGGCTTTATGTCTGCCACAGGCATGTTTAATTTTTTTATATTCACACTATACTGAGAAGATTTTATTTTTTCAATTGTAATGTTATATGTTACAAAATTTGTAATTATCTGATTTCTTGAACAGAAAATTTAAGCTATTGTAAAGTTACTTGAAGTTGCACTTTTACTTAAACCTGGGTTAAAGCTTGAAATTGTTGAATGACAGAGCCTTATTTACTTCTTGTTTTGGGATTCTACGCATCTTGACTCTTGAGTAGAATCATAGCAATAAAGTTGCACTTTTGACACTATATCTGATGTCTTCAGTCATTTTTAAGTGCATTGAAAAAAAAAAATCGAAAATCGAATCGAAACTCGAATTTTTCTTTAAAAATCGAAGATTTTTTTTTTGGGCAAAATCGCCCAGCCCTATATGACCGCCATTGTGGAAAACAACTCATGAAGTTGGACCAGCTAGAAGAGCGAGGTGTGAGAACGCTGTGACCGTTTTTCCTCCTGGATCCCCGCCCTTTTGGTCCTCATGTCGTTCCGTTGTAGGACAAACTTGCCCCCCCCTTCCTCACCGCCTCGGCCGTATCTAGACCCACAGCTAGTTCCTGATTGTCCCTCTTGCGTTGTGGCGTGGAATAACATAGCGCAGGCCACGCTTCAATATTGGGCATAAATTAAAAATATCTGCGATAAGCTCGCTACGACACACTGCTGCGGGAGGATAACCAGCCCTTTAGACCCTTAAGCCTCGTTTATGTACCTGCTCTAATGTCTAAGAAGCAGTAATTTATTCTCTATGTTTGTCTTTCAGGTGGTTTGCGTCTACAAAAATGGTCTAGACAGACTCTCTGATTTGTGAGGCCACAGCCGCCCGCCAGCGTCTGAACAGGATGTCCAGCAGCTCGGGCTACCCCCCCAGTCAGGGGTCCTTCAGCAGCGAGCAGAGCCGGTACCCTTCACACTCTGTGCAGTACACCTTCTCTGGATCGCGCCACCAACAGGTAAACCAATATTTCTTCAGTTGATGCATATCTTCTTAAAGCTGCCTCTTTCTGATGATCCTTTCTGACGAGACTTGGCTCTCATCTGTTAGGATTGTCTTTAAAGCATACGGTATAGATCTAAGAACAAGGACAAACATGGGGAGAAGAAATTTAGGACTAGGATGATCTATGTCGCACCTTGTTTTTTTGCTCAGCTTGTTTTCCAAGAAAAGAAAATCCCACTTGTCACTCTAGATCTTCCTCGACTCTCAGGACGGTTTAATACCAAAGCAATTTGATGCTCTTCGTCCGTGTTCGTGTCTTCGGATAATCTGCTCAGTTTGGGCCTTGGGTCTCATCAGAACTTCCAACAAAACAAATGAGCTCTTAAAGGGAGAAAGAAACTTAACTAATTAGAGGAAATGACATCACAGCTGTGATGTACAGGCAGGTTTATGTAATCTAAAAACGTTTCAGTGCTGGGCTAACCACAACAGCGCATCTTAGTTTCTCCTTCTTTGCTGTCTTTTCCCCTCTTTCTCAGTTCTTCTCATTTATGTTCCTGAATCGGAACCCTTCTTGTTGCGTTGCATTAAGTAGTATTTTGTAAAGACGTCCCTAATGACCAAATGTTATAACTGTTGGTTTAGGCCACTGTGAAGTGTAAATAAACCTGATGTAAAAGCATAACCCCGCCTCCCGACATAGCTTGAAAAATGCCACCAAAGTGGGCAGTGAATAAGAGACGGCTTAATGCGGGGATGAGTGGCGAATGATAAACGGGTGGTCATGATGAGCGAAATGATAGTGGGTTTGATAAAACTAAATCATCTAAAAAAAATAGAACCCTGTGCTGACTGATGGGTGTTGTAAATACTGAACAGAATCGATCTTTGCTTGCGTTGCTTGCTTCTGGTTTTATGATGCGTTCCATGTGTTCTCTGAGCTCAACTTGGAGAACCTCATAGAACAATGTTTTTGTCCTTGGTGTTATAAAACTGACCCTAATGGCAATATATGAACAACTTCCACAGCATCACCTCAGAGATGATGTCACCCAAACGTTCCAGCTTCACGTTATGAGTGACGCATTCATGAACCAAGCTGCACAGTTGTAACCAGTGGGATAATTCAGCCACAGCAGCCATCTTTAACTCAGGGAATAAACCAAGTTTTTTTTTTTTTTTTTTTTTCAGGGTTTCTTGCTCAGTGGATTTAACTTCCAACTGAATAGCCTGATTTATTTTATTTTTTTAACTCCCCAAAGATGCTAACTTACCATTAATACCTTTTCATGCGATTCTCTACAAACTAGTGATAGGACTCGATTAACACTTTTACACATTAATTATACTTTAATCAAAAACCATATAATTGACAAAATAATCCAACTTTCAATAAAAAAAAAAAAAAAACATTTTCCCTCCCTAAATATTGGATATAAAATTATATAAGCACAACAACATCAAAAACGCATATTTTTTATCCAACTATTTAAGTTATCCAACCATCAGATTGGTTAAAAGTTATGATTTAGCTTTTTTTTTTGTAAACCAATGATATTTTATACAATATATGTGAAAAACTACTTTTATAGCAGTGTGAGGAGTGCATGAACATTTGTTATAACATGATTCCTTCCAACAAATATGGAACAGAATATATACAGCCAAAAGTCATGCGATGTTGCCTGTAAACCGAAGATAATAGTTAATTAGTTGTATTTCAATGTGTCCATCAAACCTGCTAGTAAATTTCTGAACAAACTTGAAATTTCGAAAAATCTTTAACTTAAAAAAAGGAGAACGTTTTTTTCAAATCTTGCTGTTACAAATTGTTTGTTAAAACAATATGAAGAATTTTATCGAAATTTCTACTAAAATGGATATGAACCTATTTTAAATACTTTTGCAATAACGTATAACTAGATGTAAAGGCTTAATAAAAAAAAAATTTTCGGACTGAAAAGTTTAATCTTATCAATTATTTGAGTTTATTTTAGTATTCTTTAGCACAAATATGTTCCTGTTCCTAATTTTGCAATGATAAAGCAGAAATAACATCAAGTACTGAAAGTGATAAATTGTTTATTATTTTTGCAATGATAGTAAACACATTATTTATTATTATTATTTAGTTTAATGATGAGAAATTAGCGTTTTTTGCCAATGTTTTAGGTGTAAAATGATTCATCCTGGTTTGAGGACCTGATGTCTTTCAGCAACGTTAGAGGACTAAAGCACTGTTTTTTATTTTTGTCTTTTATATCAGCCTATATTGAGATCTTTTGATCTTTAAGGGCATTTCTCCTCATGGCTGCTGTAAGTAAGCAGCAGCCTTGGAAACAAGCCCGACTGATCTGGCTTCACATGCGTGGGCTTGTTCTCGTACTTCCGTCCTCAGTTGGAGGAAATGCACTCAGAGAGAAAATAGTAGGAAGGTGACGTTACTTTTTCTCTGAGTTATGGTTTTAAATCGAAAGGAGTTTGTTTTCCGTCATTTGAGAACCGAAAAAAAATAGCTAAGATTAGAGTTAGTCTATTTAGTTTTTTTTTTTCTTAAAACCTGATCGGACAAGTGGGGTTGGAGTCCATTGACAGTGGTTTGTACAGATGATGGTTGGCCTGATTTCTGATGCTGCGTCCTGTTTCAAGTTACCAGGTCAGAAACTGATTAGAATGCAGAGCTTTTCTGTCCAGATGATTTTATTATATATTTTTTTGCCATGGCAGCTATTGTTATTCTTGCTTTTATGCAATCACACCCATTAATTTCAGTCGTAGCTTCTCTAAGAGCTGGAGTGTATTTAGAGTTGATTCCTGCACTCTTGCAAATAATTGTCCTTTTGTAACAGCTGGATAATGTTTCCCTGCATTTGTTTTGGATAGCATCGTTTTTGGAAGCTCTGTTTCACAGAAAACTATCAGTAGCAAAATTCCTGGCGTTTTGATTGTTTGTTTAAATCCAGGAGAAGATCAGGAATTCAAAATATTTCCTGAAACAGCAGTTTTTTGTTTTGTTTTTTTTGGCAGTTGCAATGTGCTGATAATATTGTGGACTTTATCTGAATTATACAAGTTTTTCTTTGTTAAAATTCTAGATGATCTTATTCTATTTATTATTAAAGTTTTAATTAAAACTGAATATTCTATGAATTTCTAATATCAAACCTCTCAGTTAAGTCAGCCTTACTGTTCTGTTCAGTGTGACTGACTGTGGAAGCAATTAGTGTAGCGTTAATTGGGACTTATTGCTTTTATTACATCATAAACAGAAGGAGCTTACAGGAAATTATTGGGTGGGGTAAAAGGGTCTGCCATTTTGTTTTTGCATGACTCTGAATATTTCCTCAGGACATAGTTTTCCATTCAAAGTGAGAGGTTAGTGTCCAGAATATGAAATTAAATCTGAGTTTTCATCGATTTTACAAATGTATGGTTTGCTGTTTACAACCAGTTTTTATGTAATGGATTAGCAAGATATTTTTGTGCAGTCAAACTATAAAACAACATATTTTAACAAATGAGGAAACTACATTGTTTAATTCGATCAAAATTGTTCCCTTTTGAACAGAAAAAAAGCAGACATTCATGCTGCTGCTAAATTACTTTTTGCTTTTATTAATAATGTTACTTAAAATGTTATTTTTGTTATGTTGATACACATATTTGATAAAAGACATGCCTTTATTGCCTCACGCTGGGGAGATTTTGTTGCAACAGCAGCAATAACGAGGTAAAGATTAGAGGAAGAAAAAAACTAACAGAAGACGAAGTAATATGGGGAATAAAAATTTAATTCAGGCTGTAGAGTTAAGAAAAAGATATGTCTCTCAGAAGAAAAAAAAAATTATAACCGTTCAGTTGGTAGTAAGAAAACCCCTATTTTTGTTATAAAAAGATATAGACAATAGAAAAACAGCAGCTAATTAATATAAAAAACTTAAAAAATAAATTGTTAAAAAAATACAACCAAATATTTCCAGGGCACGTTTAAAAAAAACATCCATGAGACATGAAGCATCTGGTTTGTAGTTTGTAGGTTTTGCTCTAAAAGCAGATCAAAAACTGTGATTCTACACCTCAAAACTGGACTTTATAGTCACTCTTTCCTCACTGCATAATGTTGCTGCCTTAGTGTTGCTTCAGTCAGGTTTCAGAGTTATCAGTGCAATCGACAGCCATTTCCAGGTGTTAATCCACCTATTATTAGAGCTACACTGTGAAAGAGAGGAGGGGGAGCATTTAAAACAGCCGTTAGAATTAACCCCCATTATTACCGTCCCTATTTGTTGTATGTCATCTGCCATCAGGAGAGCGCTAAAACGGCTGTCAATGCATGACCATAAACTGGGTTTCCGCGGGTCATCAGACATGTGTGTGTGAATGGGTGAATGACTGAATGTAGTGTAGAACGCTTTGGTCAAGTCTTCTGACTTGTTAAAATAAGCGCTGTATAAGTAGACCCCATTTACCATTTTATTTTCGTCAGATATTTCAGATATAAATGGTTCTAGGTGTTTGTGCGGATCTGCTTCCGGTTGATAAACGTAAAGCCATACGTTTGGAATAGAAGCTTTAGGCATAAAGCTAGAGAATGGGAAAATGCAAATTTCAACTAAAGTGGCTGGAAAACAAGGAATTCGGGGCAAGGCTGCAGCCTGTCGACAGTTAAGATGACAAAGGATTTTGCTGTGTTGATTTACTTGTCTAAGAGTGTTAAAAGGGCATTAAAAAACATTAAATTACTCATTCCTGTATAAACCTTGATAGATTCAAGGTTCACGACTAGCAAATCCATCATGATGCTTTCATTTGTTAAACCTAGTCTGTCAAACCCATGTTTATTGGTTGCTCTGCTTAAAGGAGAAGTCATCACTAGGTTGGCTGTTGAGCAATTTCTGTAGACCAAAACAAGATGTGTGACGAGCGACACCCGTATCATCATATGTAGATATTTGCAAAGGATAAATTAGGACGGTATGGTCAAAACTACTATTACTTAGTTTTGGTTTGGGCGATGCAATTGTAGTATCAACATAAACGATACAAATACCTTAGCCAAAACTGTGAAGATAAACATTTGAAAAAGTCAACGAACAAATCCAGTTTAACATTCTAGAAATAAAAAATGAAAAACCTATTTGTTGTTGGGGAGCTACAAGCTGAACAGATTAGACATTTAACCGGGTGATTTTTCTCTCTCCTCATATTTATCCGTCCATAACTTCTTGTCTCTTTTAGTTTCTCTCTCATTACTCTGGTTTCTCTCATAGCAAAACAACTTTTTAACTATCTCTGAAAATGCAACACATCATCCTCTCTGTGTGTCATACCCCCAGCTTTGACTCATTGAATCTGCATTATTACTCTGCTTTTCCTTCCTCATAATAAAGGCTTAGTTTATTTTGCACTTCTCATATTTGTCTAACCATATTCCATCTAGAAACATATAGGGTTGTCACGATACTAAACTTTTCAACTCGATACTAGGGATGGGCGATATGTTATCGTGTGCGATATATCGTCAAAGAAATTCCTCATGGTAACAATTTGTCATCTCGCGATAAAAACGATAAACTCCCGCCGGTGACGTATACTGCGCGTGACACACCTACAGTACAACTCAAGTGAGAGCCATGCGCAAACAACAAGCATGGCGGAAGGTGAAGGAGACGTGCCCCAAGACCTGGTTCCTAAAAGAGGCTCCAGCTTCGTTATCTGGAACTGGTTTGGATTTAAAAAGTCTGATACGGAGCAGAAAGTCGTAATATGCAAAAGGGCTGGGCGATAATTCAATAACGATATATATCGATCGATAGACGTGTGGTGCAATAGAAAAAAAGAGGGTCGATAAAAGTTCGATAAAAAAGAAACGCAGTTTTCCTTCCTTCTCATTGTAGCCTAGCATGTAGGTTTATGCTAATCACTACTTCCTCCCAACCAATCACAATCGTGGACCCAGACACGCCGTCACCAAGCGCCGCCCTCTCAAACCACAACACAGAGCACATGAAGATGCAGCAAGGAGAGGCGGAGGAAATTGTTTCAAAGAAGGGTTTTTGTAGTTCGGCAGTCTGGCAGTATTTCGGTCATGGCAAGTCGGACCAAAAACAAACCACAGTCATCTGGAAAATGTGTCGGGAACCAGTGAAAACCAGTCTGATAACACAACCAACTTTTTTTTTTTTTTTATCATCTCAGCCGCTCACACCCGCAGGAGTACGAGCTGTGTAGGCCCCGACGCGGCTCTCCTCCGAGGAATCTTCGGGAAATAGAAATATATTTTCAGTTCTGGGCAGTTTCCCACGTAGTTCTAACAATGGAGATAAAAATGCTGAGGGGCCAGAAACTTCAAAGTAATAACTCAGGTTAAAGCAGGAAACGGGGGCGGCGGTGGGGGGGCATTTATTTATTTGTTATATTTATTTTGGTCCCTTTTCTGGTCACTTTAGTTTATTCTTTGTCAGTATTTAATAACATAACACAGGTCTCTTAAGTTATTTTTCTTTAAAACAATTCTGTTATGGTTAAAAAAGTTGGTTAAATAAAGATTTAATTCGAAGTCTGTGTTTGTGTTTTTTATTAAAATTAAATCATTTAGCAATATTATAAAAAGTCCAGGCAGAGCTGCACATAAAATATGGTTTCAAATCTTTTCAATAATTATCGATATCGATCAATATGCATTTTTTTTATCGATAAGCTTTTTTTCTATATCGCCCAGCCCTAATATGCAAAGTTTGCAGACAACCTGTGACGACAAAGGACAGCAACACTACCAATTTATTTCACCACATAAAACACAAACTGGAACATGATACTAGTCAGAAGATACGCTGCGATGCAGCAGAAGCATCAACTTCGAAAACCTCTATTAAGAAACCGACTGCCACTCAAACAAAACTTGCCGACGCGTTTGCTGCTAAATAAAAATTATTTATTTCTATTTTAGTATTTAGATTTTTCTGTTTTTTCCCCTTTATTTATCATGCCATTTGCACATTTTTGTAGCCCAACAGCAAAAAATTTTGTTACAGGTTGATATAACATTTGAATTTTATTTTTAGTGAAGTGAGTGTAATGTATGTTAGAACTTGCACTGCTATTTATTTATCCAATATATGGCATGTTCCAGCAACTGGTAATTTACACATCTATTTATATTAGGAGGTGATTACTGATTAGTTTTAATTTTCAGTTAAATACTTTTAAGTTCTGTTTCTCAATTTATCCGGTTGTATTTACAGTTGTACTACTTTGCAACTTTTATAAGCCAAGTTATATTTGCTGTGTAGCATTTAAATAAATGTGAAATTTGTTCTCATATTTCAGACTTGTTTGATTGGTTTGATACATTAGGCTGATATTGTGTTTTTGCTTTGTTTTTTATCGTCACTTATCGTTATCGTGGTAAAACCTAGAAATTATCGTGATAAATGTTTTAGTCCATATCGCCCATCCCTACTCGATACCGATACTAAGGAAAATATTCGATACTCGATACCATTTTCGATACCACAAGGATAAAATTTCAACAGAAATATTTTGATTAATAATTAAAATACAATAAATAAATAAATACAATAAACAATAAGAACAACATTTTGAGGTTGTTTGCTGTGCACATTATTTAGCAAGCATGATAAAAAACGTACAAAATTAAAATTAAGTTTTCCTTACTTGGCTATGCTTTGCACACATAGCAATGACACTAGCCAAACCGGTTAAGAAACAAAAATAATTCTCAGCAGCTGCAGCTGTTACAAAAAAAGTCTGAAACTGAAAAGTGCGTAGAATTATTCAATCACACAGTGTTCAGAAAGAGCATTTTCCTCTATTCTGCACTTTAGATGAATGACTGTTTAGGTGCCACTGGTACTCGATACTTTTGAAAATGAGTATTGTATCCAGATACAACATTTCAGTATCGATACTTTTTTGAGTATCGATACTTTTGACAACCCTAGAAAGATACCATTAGTTCTTCACATAGATCTTTCTCTCTTGCTTCTTTAGTAGCTACCTTCAACATGGGACATGTACCATGCTATCTGAAACTGCTTAGCTTCTTAAGTCAACATAATAGAGAAGTTAAAGTATTAGAACTAGTTATTTTGTACCAAAGAGCACCTGTACAGACTAAGACTGTGTTTTTATTTTATCCTGGGTGTGCTGTAATATTAGCATCCTTTGCTGCCTTAAAAGGGGATGCATCGAATGATTTTCATCCAAAAATAACAAAAATGCACCGAAAATAGGTATTTTTATGCTTAAACTACACGGTTGAAACTTGTTATGACGCAGGGAAACGGGTCGCAATTCAGCCATCACGCAGACATGTTGTCATGCACACAAAGAAAAGTAGTGAAGCAAAAGAGCGGAGCAGTTCCTCAGAGTTGAGCAAGTGACACACAGGTTTTTATTGATGGTGTGTGAGTTTAGAACGCTTCCCATCCGTCTCACTGCTCGCTCAGGTCGGTGACACAAAAAGTACGCCGTAGAAATCCTAACAACCCCGTCACCATTCTGAACATGAGAGGAATGAGACACAGAAAAGGAACCGGATCCCGAACCTGCCCACTTTGTGGTGGGCGTGTTTGAAAGTGGTTCTGCTAAGGCAAAGGGCGTAATACAAAAATATCAGGGGTAAATCAATATTATAATTCTGTGATTAATTCATTCCAATGCCTTGATTTTTAGTGAGGTTAGTGCACATCATAGCCAAATATGCTCTGGTCCCAATCATTGATATAATTTCTTCTGGTGTTTTGGTTTTTGACATGTTTCTTTCTTTTAAAAATTTTAATTTTTGTTTCAGTTCATCCCTAGGTTCAAATACTGCACTCTACTCTGATCACATTCATAATTGTGTCGCACCAAGTGCACCAGGCTCTGCAATACGAACATGCAAAGGCTAAGATCTAAAGCTAAAGATCCAAAAGGGCCCCGATGACAGGCAAAAACCCCACATATATCCAGCAAGAGAATAGCTTTTTTTTTATTATTTTTTTCAAAATTCCTGAAATCTTTGAACTTCAAAGATGCGAGTGTTAGAAAGCAATAGCAACATGGCTGCATGCCATCACCACAGGATACAGCCTTGCATTAAGAATGGAACACATGTTACACAACCACAACATTGACATAAAAACTGTTTTATCTGACTTTAAATAAAACACTTTTTTTTTCTGTATCCCTGTGTTCTGTGAAGGAAACAATGCAGGAGGGTGGGGGGAGTTAAAGTCAGCCTCCTTTACTGCCTTAAATCACCCACAGTGCTGCTAGCAACAGCAGACTTGTATAGGGGTGACCCGGTTCCGTAGGTCAAGGGAGTGATGTAGTGAATAACTTTGTCACCTCAAGCATTCAGAAATAAGATTATATGTATTTAAAGCCTTTAGTTATCATTGTTGCTTTGGAAAAAAAAAACAACAGGAGGAAACTTCAGTTGGGTTTTATCCGCCACTGCCATTGATCCCCCAGCATGCCTCCTGTTGACCTTCACTTCCAGCCGTGCTTCTGAAAGCTCACAGCTGTCCGTCTTTACTCTCATCTAATAAATGACCTGACAGAGTTTAGAGGTGACTTTGCAGGCCCCCATTCAGCTACCTGAGGTGAGGGAAAGAGCTGCTTTGCTCTGTGATACAGCCATCAAAAACGACTTTCATAATCATGTTTTTTTTTTAGTCCTTAGGCGTTTAAATGTTGGTAAACGATATATGGTTCTTGTAACCAGCTTCATCCCTAACTGGAGCTGTTAATCTGTAGGATTAAGTGTTGTTTTTCTCTGGTGAGACCATTCTAGTGTTGACTGTTCTGATCTTCACCATATTGTCTTTTGTTTTCTTCCCCTTCAAGGATTTCCCCGTCCAAGATTACCGCACACACATGCAGGATCCGCAGGGTCGGAGAAGACTGTCCTTACTCTCAGAGTTTCACCCTGGAGTTGAAAGGTTGTCTAAACAGCGTTTTTTTTTTTTTTTTATCTAATGTGTTCATGTTACTGTTTTATTGTAGTTTCTTCTCTGAATGTTTCATGTCTGCTTTTATACTCCAGGCCTCCAGAGAGACGGCATGTTTATGAATCGCAGTTTCCCTCCGTCACATCCCAGGCAGAGCATGAAGCCCTGGAGTCCAAACGCCCTCGCATGGAGACTGTTGCCGAGGCTCATATCAACCGCACCCCTCCCACAGCTGGGGGCGTGGTGCTACCGATGCCCCACAGTGTACAGGACAGCTTAAGAGCCACTGTGGAGGTCAAAAAGGTGGGGCTCTGTTTTTTTTTTTTTTTTTTTAAGTTTGTCCTTTCCTTCATATTTGCCTTTTACTAAGTAAGATTAGTTTTTGAATTTATTTGGGGGAGGATGCTGAAAGGAATACAGTCAAAACAAATCATTGGATTTATTAAAGGAAACAGAAAATAATAGATGTCAGTAATGACAATTTGAAGTTGGATGCAACGTTACACAAGTTTTATTCTCATAAATTTTAGGATTCTTGTTCTCTTGTTTTGTTAATCAGGAGTCTCCATTCACCGTCAAAGTGGAGTCAGCCTCCCCTGGGGGACATGCGCTGCACATGGGGGATGATCAGGACAACTCACCCTCCAAGCTGTCCAAGGAGGAGCTGATTCAGAGCATGGACCGCGTGGACCGAGAGATCGCCAAAGTGGAGCAGCAGATTTCAAAGCTGAAGAAGAAGCAGGTGGGTAAAACTGGACTATAATAAACCATTTAATAATGATTCAATCTTAAAAGAAAAGGAGCAAGAAGGCCAAAATGCTTTGTTGATATTCTGATTAAAATGCAGTCGCATGAAAATGATAAAATGACAGATGTTTAAGGTAATTAAATATTGTTATTCTGGTTGCAGAATTTAATAAATTCTTTTGGAGGTTTTGTTTAAGGCAACTGTGAGTCTAACAGATGTAACCGATATAATAATGCAGGTATTGTGGTTCAGAGCCGTTTGTTCTGTTTAGCTTTCTTTTCACAGCCCGATTGACTGGATTTAATTATAAATCTGAACAGTTATAGAATAAATTGGTCTTTAATGTAGGTGTAATTGGTTGCTTAACATGCCAGCCTTTCTCTCTGCATTGGATGTTTATGCTAACCACTTTTATGTCCCAGTTTTGTCAAATAAACTCAGTTTGAAATTTTCTTTTAATGCTTTTGCAGTGATGCTGCACTAAGAGGGTATCCTTTTTTAATGTATTTATTTCTAAAATCATGACACATTATAGCCATGAATCCTTAGTATAACCTTGCTGTTCATGTGGTTTATCATGACCTTTATAGTGTGACTGCTTGGGTTCAAACTATCAGCAGATATCCTGATAAAGTCTTCATAGACTTCAGAGATCCGGGTGATTCAGCACAAACTTAATCAGATGCTATTAAGCTTCTTCTTTTTTTTGCTCTGCAGGAATAAAAAAGAATCAAAACAAAAAATGCTGCAATCAGAAAATGTGACTATGCAAAATCTGGTTCTTTTTATTTCTTGTAAGCTTTTGGTCTGAAGCTCTTATTCTGACGTTGTCTCTTAGCAACAACTTGAGGAGGAAGCAGCAAAGCCAGTGGAGCCAGAGAAGCCAGTGACCCCACCTCCTGTTGAGCACAAGCACCGCAGCATAGTCCAGATCATCTACGATGAAAACAGGGTACGTCGTCTGAACACACCACCAGCAAAGTCCAACTTTCCTCCCTTTCTGTGGAGTTTTCCCCATCATGACGCTCTTTAATTGTCTACATCCATCCATTAAAGCTGTTTTGAACAAGGAAGTGGCAAACAAGCGAAGCAGATGTGCATTTCTTCTCCCTCCCTGTAGCAGAAGGATAACCACAGACAGGCTCTAAATTTAGTTTTTCTCCATTCTGCCTGTTTCTGCTTTAAAATAAAACGGTCCATTTGAAACTGTTTTGTTGCTTCTACCATGAACTGATAATTTCTTTCTGCTTCTGGTCTCCTGCTCTAACATCCCGACACAAAGCACAGCAGTAGTATTTCTTCTCAGAACAATGATTCAGCTGTACTCACTTTTGGAATATGCTGGGCTTTCTAATTAGTTTACATGTGGAGAGAGAAAAAATAAGTGTAAATTTTTACAAGAATCGATTTCATGTTGATAATTTGTTTAACTAATTGCTCAAGAAATCATGTAAAATAGTCTACATATCATGAGAAGCATTTCTAAAGGGTAGTGCTGGGACTCTCTCTTCTCAGTCAACCATTAACCCCTCAAAGATGCGAAGGAGCTCATGCCGTTATTCTGGCAGCTGGGCTTGTTTGTCCTTGTCTGTCGACGGTCCCAGAAAATTAAACACTAAGTCATTATGCTACTAATGAGCTTGTGTAAACTGAAAGTCTGTTCCAATCAAGCAAGAGTTTCCAGGCAAGCTTCATCATAATTTTTTGACATAATAGTTTTTGCTCTTTTTATCCTGGCATTGATGCTAAATAACAGAGCTTTAAACATTTACAGACGTCGTCACATCACAAACAAACATCAATGCATTTTATTTCGGTTCTCTATTAGGGGTGAAGAAAAAAATCGATTTGAGCTCACATCGCGTTTCTAACATTTAAAGATTCGGAATCAATTCTAATTTTCTTTAAAAACGTTTTTTTTTTTTTTTTGGTGGGTGCGGTGTAGGTACCAGATTGACTCGGGCTGCCAGATTGACTCAGGGGCCTGCGCCTTTTGATGATGTCACAATACATAATTGTTTTAACGTTTGCACAATTGCGCAAAACATTTTGATTGGTCTGGACAGCTTACTAAAGTAATTATAGCGGGGTGTAGGTTTTATTCGAAAGCGGGATTGCGGTTTGTAAACGGACAATTTTACGAAGAAATTCTCCATGGTCCCTGCCCCTTCCGATGACGTCACCGAATTCGCCATGGGCCTTGCGCCTCCCGATGACGTGACATTATGGCAACGCCACTCAAACAAACTACATTGAGCCCGCGGTCTGCATTTGTAACGACAATAAATTCAGGAGAATGAAGCTAAAGGGATACAAAAAATAAACTTGTAATATTACAAAACCAAAAATACTACGAATACAAAGTATATTCAGAAATTAAAGTCCCTCTGATACTGTTTAAGTGACTGAGAAACTGCAGATTTGCCACATTTAAGATGGCGGACGCTCTGACGCATCTCAAAAGGCGCAGGCCCCCGAGTCAATCTGGCAGCCCGAGTCAATCTGGTACCTACAGCGGATGTGCCTTATCAGGCAGCGTGAGCTATGCACAGGCATCCAAGCGTTAGCCTAGCAGGCTACAGAGTGGTGCGTAGTGTTGTGTGAGCTACTGTGTTTGTTGCCTCTAAAGTATGGAGGACGAAGAAAAAGAAATTAAACCGCCTCCGCGGTCTTTAAAAGCAACCATTTGGAAACACTTTGGATTTTACCTTCAATCCGGCCCGGGTAAGAAAGGGCTTGACATGACTCATGATTTGCAGAGATTGCAACGGTAAAGTTAAGTATTTTGGGAGTATTTCCAATCCCCATTCTCATCTCGAAAGACATCACCCAGAGTTGTTGGTAAAATTTACCTTTAGGTGTTTACATTATTGCAATAGGTAAATAAAACATTTACAATTATATAGTCTTAATAAATTTACTCTTCTTTCATGCCAGCAGACTGGAATAGATCCTGAGAATCGTTTTGAATCGTAAATGAATCGTTTCTGAATCGAATTGTTTGGATTTAAAAGAATCGGAAAAAATTGAATTTTGACCCCAAGAATCGAGTCTAAATCGAATTGTGGGAATCCCAAAGATTCACAGCCCTATTCTCTATTCACTAGGACCTGCTCTTTATTTGGGGGTAGCAGACTAAACAGGGCTGAATCCATTTGAAGGTGTGTGTGTGTGTGTGTATATATATATATATATATATATATATATATATATATATATATATATATATATATATATATATGGATAATATTTCTTCAAAATACACTGGTCCTTTTTTGCCAGTATAGCTCTAGGAATAGATGCCCCAGATCTAGATGGCAGTTCAACAGCTTTGCTTTCATAAGCAGACCATTATAACTGTAGCCATGAGGTTCCACTTGATACTTGTATATTAACATTTTTTTAAAGTGGTTTATGGAGTAAATCATGAACAACTGAAACTGAGATGGAATGGGAAGTGAGAAAGGAAGGGGGGATGAGAAGTATGGGAAAGAAAGAGATGGAGACAGGAGAGAGTGCATGAGTCTTTCTACTCATGCACTCAAATTCACCTACCATCCATGTCTTTCATTATCTCTCTTTTTTTGTTGTTTAAAATTGACCTTTACCTTTTATTTTTCTTCTTTTTAATCTTAACAAAGTCTGGACCCTCCTGTGAGTCCTGTCGGGATCTTAGCATTGTTCAGATTGAGGCAGGCTGGCAGTTGTTTTGAACGGCCTCCTCCTGTAGAGTTTTTTTTCAGTCAGAAAGGCTGATTTTAAATTAATTGAAGGCAACTTTAAATTAATTACCACAGTCTTACACTTCTATAGTCTTCTTTTAGTTCTCACCATCACACTGACAATCACACATTCGCAATCATATCGACAACCAGGATCACACTGGACTAAATATCTGAGGTTTGAATAAAGGAGGTGTCATTCAGAATGCCTAGTGTGGATCAGGGCTTTGGAGCTTAAAGTTATAATGGAGGATTTCCGCAAAATTTTGAAAAGCCCCACCCTCTCCACTGATTCAAAAATGCATTTGGGCGTGCAGGTGGCGCAGCGGGTAGCGCGCACGACCCAGATACTTAGTCCTGGATGCGGCTGACCCGGGTTCGAATCCCACCTGTGGTCCTTTGCCACATGTCTCTCCCCCTCTCTCATACCCCTTTTCCTGTCAGCCTACAGTCCTGCAAAAAAAAAAGAAAACGCACATGCACAACCCTGTACTCTCTCCTGAAAAGGAACGCCTATTAAACGCATGCGAGAGCATGCAGGAGCCCATTTCTCAAATGTTGCTGTTTGCATCGCTCATACAAGCTTACTTTCCAAAAGAAGATTTGCAATTTTTCACACTATGTCACTCACCACCAGTAAGAGGAAATGGGGACAAGCACATGCGTTAAACTCCAAAGGTTAAAATGAAAATGTTTTGATGCTATTGGTCACTGAATATCTGTTTTGATGTTGTTTCTTTTCAGAAAAAAGCTGAAGAGGCTCATAAAATATTGGAAGGTCTTGGCCCCAAAGTTGAGCTGGTATGTTTATTAATTCCTACCATTTCCTTTGTTTTGGAGCTTTAAAAACATGACTAGAGGTGCAGCAATCATAGGTTTATGAACAGATTTAGAGATGCTAGTGCTGATTTTTGGCAAGTTTTCAGTATAAGAGCTGCGGTACAATATGGTATAAAACTGTTTTTCTTTAGGCTTACTGCTGTAAGACTTTGATTATTCGTACTTGCAGCCAAGTTGGTGTCTGTGTGTGTGGCATAGTATTCATAAGATTAGCATTCAGATTGATGTAAAATTAGCATCATTGTCGCAGGTAGTTTTACCACTGTAAACAGCTGTCTCCATGTTTTGAGAACCATTAGTTAGGCAGACATATAAAACTTTAAATTGTATGGTAATACTGTATATTTGCTGTTCTGCCTTCTTCTCAGCTGCTTAAAGTTTAGCTCTCTCTCTTTCTCAGCGCCTGAATGAACCATAGACAGTTTTTGGAAATAGAAATGTCAACAAACGACTCTCTTGCTGTTAAATGATTCCTTAATGAGAATCTACTCAAAAATGGACGTTATTCTTAGCACAACCTGGAAGCACCTGCATGCAAGACTTTTTCTCACTGACTTTTCGTGGATTCTGATTACCAACTGAGTTTTTATTTGTTTGTTTTGGTCAGTGATGAATTCAGTTCCTGTTCTTTTTTTTTTTTCCTTCTTTTTTGAAGCCGTTGTACAACCAGCCGTCAGACACGAAGGTTTACCACGATAACATCAAAACGTAAGTTTCAGCTTAATTTGTTCATCTTTTTTTTATTTTTTATAAAAAGATAGAGATGTTGGTTTATCGGTGCAGATGTGACCTTCACAATGAGATCAGTGGGGGAAACCGTGTAACTCTGACCTGAGTTCCCATAATCCCCTCTGATAATTCCGTCTAATCTGGTCGGCGTTTCACCTGATTGACCTGCTCCTCTTACACCAAGCAGAGCAGCGGGGATAGGAAGCAGCGATGTGTATTTGTCTGTCTGTGTCAGGCATGTTTGGAGTAAGTTGCCTGAGGGGTTGAAGGCCATGTTGTCTGGAACTTAAAAAAAAAAAAAAAAAAACCTTATCAGCGTGTACCACGGGAGCGGCGCATCTGGTTGGGCCTTTTATCAGGACAGAGACCTATTCTGTGTGAACCTGCTGAAAGGCCACGCTCTCAGGGTCAGCGCCCTCATGGTCCCGTCCCACCGCCACCAGCATTTGTAAACAATACTTCCCAGTATTTTTATCTATTTGTCAAACTTTTAGTAAAATTGTTTTCTTATTTTGAAAGGTACAAATCAAACAAACTTTAAATCAGATTTAAAACAGACTTTAGATTTTGCTACACAATCTTCTTTATGCTTTTCTTTTAAAAGTTACAGTTAAGGGTTCTTTATAAACACAAAAATGATGGATATCTGCTTTCTTTTAGAAACCAGGTCATGCGGAAGAAGCTGATCTTGTTTTTTAAAAGGAGGAATCATGCTCGTAAACAAAGGGTAAGTGTCCAGGATGCAGGTTACATGATGTTGAACTTGGATGTAGTTTTATATGTTTTGGGGACAACAGGAGAAGCTCTTTCCTTTCCCACAGTGAGTGGAGCCGTCACAGCACAATGCAGCATGTGACTCTATGTACTCGGATGACCTCTGCTCAGACTATTTAAGCTTCATTCCTAAACTTGATGGTTTAAATGAATATGATAGACTCTTTTTTTCAGCTAAGAATATAAACCAAAAAAGGAACTAGTAGGTGTAAATGTATACAGAATACAAGATTAGTCTGCATTGGTGCTATGAATTAGAATTTCAGGTTATGTTTACCTCTGCTTCAGCAGGGTTGCTGTTAGCAGAAAACTGATTATCCACATAAACCTGTTGACCTGCTGTCGCAGAGTTGGTTGGCCCTAAATGACATTATGTGGTGTTTGAAAGCCCAACCGATATCAGAGAAAGCAGCATGGATTTCAGAGTCTTGTATTTTAGCCATAGATGTGCCAGATCTATCTCATTCAAAGCTCTTCTACTGTCTCCTTTGGCATTAAGGTGCAAATTAAAACCAGTCAGCACTTATTGAAGTGTGCAATCCCAAACCTCAATTTTAATACACTCACATTATTTTGTTGATTTATGTCAAACAATTAAGTCATTTTTCTCCTTGTCGATTTACACTAAAGCCTGGAGTTGAACTGCTGCCCATAGCATTGCTGCTTTGCAAGCTATGCTATGACACTGGTTGGTGTAGAAAGACCTGCACGCTTAACTGGAAATGCACGACAGCTTTTATGAGGGAAATTATCAAGAAGCTATGTCTGTAAGACAAAGACTAGACATGCCAACGGCTGCAAATCAGTTTGTCTTGAAAATATTTTCAGTAGAGGAAAGATATGGGTTGATTAAAGGCTGTAAGTGTCCTCTCTTCCTGTGCTTTCGCAGAAAGTGGATTATTGTTAGGATTTTACTGTAAGTTCCTTTATCTTCATAGACATTTTAAAGTCTTAAAAAAGAGGCGTCCATGCCTTAAACCTTTTAACTTTCTGTCACGTTGCATCCACAAACCTGGTTTGGTGCTGTAATTATGTGTTGGAACAAAGTAGCACAGAACTGTTTTTAGAAAATGGTGTGCATTTGCTTTCTGCATAAAGTTGGATTCCTTGTTCCTCCACAGTATAATGCTGCCACCACCATACTAGATTAGGATCAGGCATTTGTTTTTTCAAATTTAGAGTCCCTCTTCATTTCGTAAATAAAAAGGTTGTAGCTTCCTTCCTCCCAGTGATCCTTAGCTTGATGCAGGACCTTTTTTTTTTTCTGAGTTGTGACTGAGTAGTGACTCTTTTAATCTCGACTGTAGCTTCTGTAGAACTGACACTTCATGTCTCTGCTTCCAGGCAAGGGAAACTACATAAACTGGAAGCCTTTTCAGCTTCTTTTGACTCAGTGGGTCATGGTTGTAGTTTTAAAAATCATCCAGATGATGTATTTAGGGAACAGGAGGCGCCTTGGTTTCCTCTGTTTGTTTGGACTCATTGTGTGGCGCAATAAAAAATTTTGTATGCAGAGGAATAATAAATATTGTCGTATCGAACGGTGTTTCTAAGAACTGCTTTGCCAAACTGCTGCCTTATCGGTTGTTTAAATTTTGCAGAATCACATAATGTTTGAATACAAAGATCTTTTTTTTTTTTTTTTTTTTTTTTGCTGCTGTGGTTCAGTGAAGCTAACCTCAGTCGGACCTTTCTGGCTCTGAACAATGGCAGAGTGCTCATGGCCTCTTGCCAAGAGGAAGGTTAACTGTTTGTCCCTCGCTGCGGACAGCGTTTTACCCCGCCTGACCCTCTTTTCTGAATCTCTTCCAAACATTTGAACTCTTTCACATCTAGACATTAAAAGATTTAATTTGTTTTTGCCACCTCAGTGAGGAACAAACTGTGTTTGGTTTAGATGATTTCAATAGAAACTTGTTTAATAAGCAGGCCTGTTGGAGAGGGATTGTAAACACAACGATCGCATCAGATCCGACCGTGAATGGGTCAAGAGACAGAAATTGAGTCAATGACAAACTGACAAACACCACAAACACAGCTCAAAGAGAGAGGGGGGCATGTAACCCACCCGTTATGCTGTTTACATTTTTCCATTCAAAAGTTAGGATTGTTTGTTGAGGCCATTATTTGAGCAGGGTCTTCCAGATTTAGTCTTCTTCGAGGTCAAACCTGTAACTTTAGATATTACAATACCCAAGAATAGCCAGAAATTAAGGAGATAAGCAGCTTTCTTAATTGAGCTCATAGATTAGAATTTACCAAATGGTCATTATCATTTATGCTTTAACGTTTATGTCAGTAGCGTTTATATTATTTATCTAACTTAAACAGAGCATCATAGGCCTGATTTTCAGCTGCTGGTGGTGGGAGTCCTACCAACCCCTGCCTAAAGTTCTCATTATTAATCATTGATTTGGGGACATCAGTAATTAGATCAAGGGAAATGTATTTGATTCTGATCTGATTGATTGGTAGACATTTAAAAACCTCCAGTAACCTGTTTCCTTAAAACACATTATATTGATATATTCAACACAGACCAATGCTTTCAAGACTTTGAGCTTCTTTATGAGGTTCTTTTGCTAATTACTTATGAGAACAATGCATTTAATGGGAACATTACATCAGTACAAGAAGGAAAAGTTTAAAGAAAATCAGGAATACAGGTTTGATATAAATTATGTATGATAATTGAATAAAGGTTGTTGTTTTCAAAAGTTTTTTTTAGTCTGACCAACAATCAGATCCTATAATATACTATACAGAATATAAATATATTCATCTTAATTTAAATTGAGTGCCATAAATCTAGTTGGGACATGACATTTAGATGTGTCTTGAGTTCTTTATTTTTAGGTTGATTTATGGAGATCTGTACTAGAATAAAATTGAAAAAACAATTGGCTAACTTAACTTATAGTTCTTTTCTGGGATGAGAATAAGCATCAAACAGATAAGAGTTTGTCTCGACTTTCCACATAAGAGCAAACAACCCCAATAAACGTGTGCCGTTTTCCTTTCGTGTGCACAGGAACAGAAGATCTGTCAGCGCTATGACCAGCTGATGGAGGCGTGGGAGAAGAAGGTGGAGCGCATGGAGAACAACCCCAGACGCAAAGCCAAGGAGAGCAGAACGCGAGAGTACTACGAACGACAGTTCCCCGAAATCCGCAAGCAGCGAGAACAGCAGGAGCGCTTCCAAAGGTGAGCATTATGGCCAGCGATTGGGGGGAAATAAAGTGGCTGTCTGTTTGGGTGCATCATCTTGAATGAGCTTTATGCACAACTCCACTACTTCCTTTACTTAAGGCAGCTCATGTTTACTGTCTTTTTCTACTGGATGAACTGATTCATCCAGGTGGTCCTGACCTCACTGCACACACCTGGATGAATCAGTTCAACCAGTAATGAAAGACGGGAAGCAAAACATCTGCCCTAAATTCAGGAAGTAATGGAGTACATAGAGCCCGTAAAAAAAATAAACATTAAAGATGTATTTCAACCTATTGTTTTTTATTTTATTTATTTATCTTTGGTCTTAAGTTTTGTTCCAAGCAAAATATTTGTTCTATAAATATATAGAATACATACATGAATAGTAGAAATAAGTTTTTTGTTGTAACAGTAAGAAAATTATTAGGCAATTACGCTTTGTTTCATGAATGGCTAATTATTCTAAAATTGATTTTCTGTTGATATAAACCTTATGGCCATCAAATAACAAGTAGGACATCTTTCTCTATAACATTTATTATCCCTAATATGAAAAATTGGCTTCTTTAAAGGGAAACGCCATTTTTTATTTTTTATTTTTTTTTACATTGGGCCCTTGATTTTACGTTATTACATCATGTTCTTCTCGCTCATATTAGTTTTGTGTCATTTTGAGTCGTTCTGAAGATATTCTGTTAGGTTATATCCAAGTAACGTCTTCCTATGAGAAACGACTTTAAGGCACAAACTAAACTGTTCATAATTTATTCTTTATGGTACGTCAGCATTCATAACATGTAGGCGAATCTCTGTCCCCCAGACATCCGCGGTTATATTTTTCATATTTATATCTTTTAAAAACAAAGCAGAGTGTGTATGACGACATCCGCGCGCCGGACTGGAGTCGTAACAGGCAGCCCGGGCCACAGGCGGCTACGCTCTACCTCTTCTATTGATTCGGCTAGCTAATCTGAGTCGTTTAATTGCATTTCCAGAGCGAGATCCTCTGTGGTAGTAGCACTAGACATCTTCCAGGCATGTGAGTAAAACTAGCAGCAGTTCAGCGGACAGGAAGAATAAACGGTAGCCGGCGTGCGTATGACGTCATACATGCGCCGCTTTGTTTTTAAAAGATATAAATATAAAAAAATATAACCGCGGATGTCTGGGGGACAGTGATTCGCCTACATGTTATGAATGCTGGCGTACCATACAGAATAAATTATGAACAGTTTAGTTTGTGCTTTCAACTCGTTGCTCATAGGAAGACGTTACTTGGATATAACCTAACGGAATATCTTCAGAACGGCTCCAAATGACACAAAACTCAAATAGGTTAGTAGAACATGATGTAATACCGTAAAATCAAGGGGCCAATGTAAAAAAAAAAAAACGGCGTTTCCCTTTAATCTCCTAGAAATGTAATCACTATCACTCAAGAAAAGGGAATGTATATTTTAATCCATTGTGCATATATTTAGCTTTTAGTCATCAGTTTTCATTCTGGCAGTTAATTTAATGTATTATTAAAGTGGATCTTCATCAGTAAAAGGTTTCTCCATGTTTTGTCTCCTCAGCCGCCCCCTTAGATAGAGGAAACATGGTGCTATTTAATGTTAGGCTGAACAGTTATTCATAAATTTATCATCATCTCAGTCTCTGTCTTTGCAATATTTATTTTGCAGAGGAGTGTTTGGTGCACGAGGATTTTTCACTAATGTGCACCAAGTGTTTTGAATTTCAGGTATTCATGCTAAACTAATATTTAGCCTGTTGGGAAGCATCTCACAGCATCAGAGGCTCATAGAGAGTTTGTTGCTAGAAATGCTAAAGGTCAAAACGTTATAGAAGCCCTGATGAAAAAAGGAGAAGGGCGAAATTGCACCTCAATATTTTATTTATTGGGGTTATATTCTACTTCTTGTTCTTGTTTTCCCACAGAGTTGGACAAAGAGGAACAGGTCTTTCTGCAACTATAGCCAGAAGTGAGCATGAGATTTCAGAAATCATCGATGGTCTCTCTGAACAGGAGGTAGGAACCGACTGCAGGATATCTGAAAAGCTCTTCAGCTGTTTCCAGTCATGTTCATGCTGGTTCATACTGTGAGGTTTTCACTTTTTTGTACAAAGGGAAAGTATTTAAGCAGCACAGGATTTTCAGTAATGTTTTCCCAACTCTTTCACAACACCATTCCATCATAAACACGCGGAGAATAGCCGACCCTAAACTCCCCCTGACCATTTATTGGTCACAATGAGATGGCTGACCGGCTGTTTGCCTCAAAGTCATATGATATTTCTCACCTTCTCCCTCCTTAGATTGGGAATGATTTCCAAATCTTGTTTAGGATATTAATGATCACTACATCACTATTTCAGCTTATTCTATTGGGGATCTGAACAATACTGGATCTGATTCAGAGTCTTGATAAATGTAAAAGATACAAAGGCTAGAAGCCAGCCTCATGAAGACCGACATGGGAAAATTGTCGCGGGTTATAGCGGTAGGCCTATATATTTAGTTGATCGCTCAGGGCTAATAAGCCAACAGTCTTGCTGCTTAAAATCATGCAATAGTTAAGTAGTTTGTCCAGCTAACGCTGCTGCTTCTTGTGGATGGTCTTCATTAGGGAGTATTTCTCCCCAAATAAGGGCATGGTGATTCGGGCTCTGCATGTGCCAGTTACGTTACACTATATGATTGGCTAAACATTGCCACAATGACATAAAACATTGTGGTTTCCCAGACAACGATAACAACGATAATAATGCAGAGTCTGTATGCCGGATTGGGAGCATCTGTGGTGTTAGTGTATGTAATGAACGATAAAGTTTTTCCTGATTTATATAAAAACTGAAAAAATCTGTTTATGGTGAAGGAAGTAACTGAAAGACCCTGATGTAAAGGGGTGAGCTGGGAAGCCCTGTGGCTAGCTGATCTCTGTAGCTAACAGGTTAGCCTCTTTTAGCTCAGTCAGTTGCACATATTAAGTCACCTTCATAAATGGCAGAGCTCAATCTGCCTTAGAACGCAGACTGATTGGAGATCTTTAGTAGTTGAAATTAGGAAACAAAGAAACCTAAAACAATAGAAAATATAGATAATGATAAGTTGTAAATCCATTTATTGTCCCACAATGGGAAAATTCAACCCCTGCATTTAACCCATCCCCTTGAGGAACAGTGGGCTGCAATTGTGTGGCGCCCTGGGAGCAGTGTGGTATAAACGTTTTTTATTGAGGAACCCAGGGTGGAGACTGTGGCGTTCAAACGTGGTACTTGTAACCTTCTCAGAGCACAAGTGCACTCCTCTAACCATCTTAATTATTAATCATTCCCCACTCCCCAGTTGAGCCTCCCAAAGAGATTTGAATCAAATGAAACAGGTGTAATACAGTTTATATGAGTGGCTTTGCCATATTGTGATGTCATCAGCAGGGGCAGTGCCCCCGAGCAGATCTGACCACCCGAGCAGATCTGGTACTTACACCATTCCTTTGGTATCAGAGCACATTTACAGAAATGAGTACACACTCGTTTGCCCTTCTGGTCTGAACCTCTTCTCTGTGCCACAGAACAATGAGAAACAGATGAGACAGCTGTCAGTCATCCCTCCCATGATGTACGACTCGGAGCAAAGGAGGGTGAAATTCATCAACATGAACGGCCTGATGGACGACCCTATGAAAGTGTTCAAAGCTCGACAGTTCATGAACGTTTGGACGGAACATGAGAAGGAAATCTTCAAGGAGAAGTGAGCCCGTGTTTCATTACCCTCCTGGTCTAGTTACTGTGCCATTAATGGATGTTTGGTCCGTTTATGGGTAACGGCTACATTTGCTTCTTTCAGGTTTATGCAACATCCCAAGAATTTCGGTTTAATCGCCTCGTATCTTGAAAGAAAGGTGAATGTAATGTTTACCCTTTTGGTCTAAATAGATAACTTAAATTAATAAAATATTGACGAAACCAGTATAAAAAAACGACATAAATGTATTTATATACCTTTTTTCTTGTTTCAGTGTGTGGCTGACTGCGTCCTATTTTACTACTTGACCAAAAAAAACCAAAACTACAAGGCGCTGGTCAGGAGAAACTACAGAAGAAGAGGAAGGAACCAGGTAAATTAATCTTTTAAGAAGATATGTAGCAGCCATTTCTCTCTGTGTAGTAAATTTTTCACCAAATAACACAATTTAAAATGCTGATAAATCACACCTTTTGGTGTGTAGATTAACAAAAGTACTTCTTATCTATCTCCCCTTAGAAGACTCTCTTTTTTTAAAACATGCATCTTTATAAAAGACCTAAGATCAAAAGAAGAAGTCATTACTAATGTTGAATTCTCCATTCCTCCACAAAGTGAGTTGTTGCAAAGTTATGGAGGAAAAAAGGCTTGTCAGAAAATATACTGTACAACTCCCCAAAAAATCTTGAGCTAGTCAGATATTCTTATCAATCGGCCTCATCAGCTGATTTATTATGAGTCTGCTGGTATAAAATGACTAAACCAACTACAAAACTCTAGAAGCACAGCATTATGGAGGGTGACGGCTTCCATAATACAATAAATAAATACCTTATGAAATTATTACTTAAATTGGTCATTTATTTATTTAAACTGGAAATATATTATTTATTTAATAAATATTTAACCTCCATTGAATATATTGGTTATATTTTCCAAAGGAAATATAATTATTTCATGATTTAATAAATTATTTCATATACCTTTGTTAAAGCACACAATGACTCAATTGAAAACTGTCACACTTCCATCAAAGTTAAGGAGGCATGACTAAGGCTATTTCTGACATCTGATTTATTAGATAAAATGCTCAAAAAAATAAAACTTGCAAAAAAAAAAGTGAATCAAATCTAACTTTTGTGAAATAAAATTGTCCACTTAGGAAGCAGCGCTGATTAAAGATCAATTGGACATGCAGTTGTGCAAATAAAATAGACAATAGGTGGAAATTATTGGCAATTAGCATTACACTCTATAAAGGGGTGGTTCTGCAGGTGAAGACCACAGACCACTTCTCAGTACCTATACTTTCTGGCTGCTGTTTTGGTCACTTTTGTGTGTTGGTGGTGCTTTGACATTCGTGGTAGCATGAGATGGACTCTACAAACCACACAACTAGCTCAGGTAGTGCAGCTCATCCAGGATGGCACATCAATGTGAGCTATGGCAAGAAGGTTTACTGTTTCATTCAGCGTAGTGTCAAGAGGCCTGAGGCGCTACCAGGAGACTGGTCAGCAAAGCAGGAGATGTGGAGGAGCACTGCCAGAGCCCTGCAAAATGACCTCCAGCAGTCAAAATTATGCATGTGTCTCTACAAACAGTTAGAAACCAACTCCAAGAGGATGGTATGAGTGCCCGATGTCCACAGATGGGGTTTGTGCTCACAGCCCAACACCAAGCAGAATGCTTGCATTTGTAGAAGAATTCCAGGATTGGCAAATTGGTCACTGGCGCCATGAGCTCTTCAAAGATGAAACCAGGTTCACACAGAGCAAATGTGACAGAGTCTGGAGACACCATGGAGGGCGATCTGCTGCCTGCAACATCCTTTAGCATGACCGGTTTGGCAGTGGGTCAGTAATGGTGTGGGGTGGCATTTTTTTGAGGGCCACTCAGCCCTCAGTGTGCTCGCCAGAGGTAGAATGACTGCGTTTAGGTAGTGAGATGAGATTCTCACACCCCTTGTTAGACCACAGGCTGGTGCAGTTGGCCCTGGGTTCCTCTTGATGCAGGCCAATGCTAGACGTCATGTAGCTGCATTGTGTAAGTAGTTCCTGCAAGTTGAAGGCATTGAAGCTACGGACTGGGGCCTGCTCCCCAGACCTGAATCCGATTGAGCACATCTGGGACATCATGTCCCAAAGTAGATTCTATTTACATAATTTGAACAAAGGGAAGCTGAAACTGCCACTCGAAGAGTTCTCTATAGAAAAGCGTTTTTTCTTTTCTTTTTTTACTTAAATTTAAAAGGTGTACTTTTTTTTTTTTTTTTTTTTTTTTTGGTTTACTTGCGGCTCCAGGTCTGTTGTTCTCTCAGCAAAGGGTATTTTTTTACAGCCTGTATACCAGTTCAAAGATTGCAATCTGGACCAATGATAGCTCTCATCCTCTCTGGGCTTTCTACCCCTTTTGCATATGCCAAAATCCTCAGTAGAGAACACTGTGTCCAGTACAGCTGCTCTGCAAAACAATTGTGTGGTTGTAGACTGTCTTTACATAGAAGGAGGCTCTTAGCCGAAGTTTTTGTAATGACTCTTGAGCACTAAAATATTTGTCATATTTTAATAAATGCCTGAGTTTCTTCAGAGTTTAACACTTTATATTCTGCAAGTACGTAAGCGTTTAAGACAACCTTGTTTAAAAACATGCAGGGAAATGTCTCTTTTTTTTGGTCTTGTTTTAGGTTGTAATTTAAAGAATTGCTTATCAGTGTTTGACTGACTTCCAAGCTTCAGCAACTGGCGTTTGAGTGAGCAGAGTGAGTCATTAGTGTGGGTTGGGAAGGGATGGAGTGAGCAACAGCAAGAGCAGAGGAATGTGGGGCAAGTGAGTGAAACTGAGTGGAAAAAGAATCTCAGTGAGACCGAGTCAGCGCTGGCAGCCTATCTGCTGATTGTGTGCTCTTTCTTCTTTGCCTTTTTTTCCTTCAGTTTTAGTTTGCTTTTACTTCTTTGGAGTGTGTGGGAAAAGGAGAAATCCACCCCTCCTTGAAATGTTGAGTTGGTACAGTCCGACCATCTGACGGGCCCAGAAACCTCCCTGTGCTCCTGTGAGTGCCAATCACAGAGGAGTGCTCAGCAGGGATTACCTTGAGTGACCCTGCATAGATTAGTGCGTGCATGTGAGATGGACGATTCTTTGGGCGGCTTAAGCGGCCTGATGACACGCTTTCCTGGAATATGTGCAGCCGTGCTGCGGCCCGGCAGCCCTTCTAAGGAGCTCTGCTATGGTGCCGTCCTGCCCCTCCACTGCTACCAGTCCCATGGAGGGACTGGAGGCTAAATTCCCATTTGGAACACGAGTTAGCGCTGGCGCTGAGCAGAGGAAAGGGCCTTTTGTTGCCAGCAAATGAGTGTGCAGGTATGTCACTAACTTTAACCCCAAAGCCTTTACTTTTTTGGTCAAATTAAGCAGTTTCTTCAGGCTCTATGTCTGGGTCTTGCCGTGTTCTGGCTGTCCAGCAAGTTTCCTAACCTAGATATTTATTTTCGGCCTGTAGGCAGTGGAACACGGCTATTTTAGGCTATGTTTTCTGGGACATGTGGGACTACCCAAATCAAACCTCTGCGGTCACCTATGTGTATTTATCTTGTGGCCTTTGGATTGTTACCCATCTTGAGAGAAAAGATTGTGGCATTTAAATTTGATCCAACACTGTTTGAGGTTTCCAAAACTACTATGGGACAAACCAACCATGAGATATCCCGTGTTCTCCGTGACACGAGAGTAAGCTTTCATGAAATTAGCCACCTGCTCAAAGACGATTATTTATACTGATGTAGAGACTTAGTTTGGAGCTGTTGCATTTGTCTTAAGGTAACATTTCATTTTATTCCCATAGTGTGTTTGGAGGTCGGTTTATATGCGTATGAATTATTGACTTAGTTATTCAGCAGATCCTCCTTTTAACACATGGGGGCATTCGTTCTGCAAAGCATATCATTCAAGCTTTGACATGTAGACTCTAAGGTATGGTAAGCTCTGAAACTGATCCTGGAAAGAGGGTAGAGATATTTAGCTTCCCTCACTCTCCTCTATAGGACACCTTTGGCTGCCATGTTGCAGAGAGAGCACTGTGCTGAGATGCTGAGCAGTCTTAACCACAGCTATGGGAAATGGTGTGAGGATGCAGCCATCCAGGTGATGGAAAAGTAGAAGTGAAGTCAGACTTGCCCACCCTTTTCCTTTCATTGCTTGGAGTTGCCCTTCCGAAGCGCGTATTGCCGATTAGCAGTGCCATATGCAGCAAATTAAATTAAATATCATCTTGCAACATGTTTGATTCAGCAGATATTAAAAAATGGCTGCAACAGTTTAAGGTCTAGCTTTTTATCCTCTCTGTCTCCGCTGTAAAATGATTTACCTCTTGTTGGGTCCTGACATCAAAGTGGAGCGTTTTGCTGTCCTTTATGTTGCAAGAAGACGTGACCTTAAATGCTTTCAGATGGTGCATTTGAGGAACCTATGGGGTGTAGCTTACAACTTGCTTCATTCACCAGAGGAATATGGTAATGCATGTGAGGGATATCCTTGAAGGAACTCCCCGAAGGTCTGAGCTCTGTTGTGATCCTTTAAGATGCATTCAATGCTTTAAAGGCATACATGGCTCTTATCGTCCCCCACGTGTTCGCTACATCTGATTCTGCAGATGAGCAGTGCTCTCAGATCAGACTCTAGAAGATCATGTCATGCCTAAGTTCTCTGCAGCCGTAGCCTTCTGCTTTTTCTGCAGCTGTTTTTGCTGTTTTCCACCACATGCTCAATTGTTTATCAGCCTTTTATTTGGGATTGGTTACGTCTTTTCTGTTGATGTTGTTTTTAGTTAATAAACAATCCCTGATCCCATGTCGGGAACTTATGGTTGACTGTAAGACTTGACGAACGTGTGCATGAAATGAAGGGATGATCTGAAAGAGCAGCTATTTTAAAAGGGCTTGTAGGTATTCATTAAAGTATAAATGGTCCTGTAATTTAAATTCTACTGGAAAACTTTGGAGCTGGATGGTGGGGGAGGTTTACTACAGTGGAGGTCCCTCATAAAGCCATCTCAATGGTGTCATCAGGCATATCCAAGAAACTTTTTGAAATGATCAACAAGAACAATGGAACTGCTCTGTCTTTCTTTGACATTTTATGTTATTTTTTAGGATGGTTTGAGTAGAGGTTCAAATCCTTTGATTAACTAAGAAACAACCTGTTATGGTGCATTCACACTGACCATCAGAAGGCAGATTCTTCTGTATAATTACAGATGCAACCAAGAGAGTTGTTTGGCTTTATTTGATGAATACAGCGAGGAAATGTCGTTGTTAAGCACCTTTTGGAAAAAACTATTACTGTGGTCCAAGTTTTTTAAACTTCAGATCTGCAACT